TCCGCGGTTCCCGCTGTCCCGGAGCTGGAGGCGGGCCCGGCGCCCTGGGTGTGCACCCCGGCTGGCTTGAGGCCTTCCTGGCCAGCCGCGGAGCTACAGCCTGCAGCGCTCGCAGACCCTGTGACTGTCCTTTCCCTCTCTATGGTGGACGTGTTTTCCCACGCAGACTTTACCTTCGCTTTCCCTGGGAGTTATGTAGCGACTATTTCGAGGACTTTGTGCGCTAAGATGTACAGACACATTGTCTATTTTTCTATGTATTTTTATTTAAGGGAAACCAAGGTGCTGCTACTAGTTTGATTGCTGTCTCAGGTAGTTCATCTGGGAAGAATATTGGTCGTGGAAGCCAACCAGATAAGGGTACTCAGAACAGTTCCAAGTCAGAAATATTGAATTTCCTCCTCCCCACCCCAGCCCACCCCCGTGCTAGGGATCGAACCTTTGAACGTCACCTTCTTAAAGTAACTTTTGAATGTTTTGCTACAGATGTTACAGGGCTGCGGGTTGAGTGCCAGAATGCTAAGGCTGCAGGAAACTGAGGCAAGGAAGAGAGCCTTTCAGGCTAGATTGGTATACACAGAACCAGGTTTGGAAAAGATTGTTTTGGTGTCCTGTGTCCCACCTCCATGCCACAGTTTTACTCCTTTTTTTAAATTGTTATGTTTAGATAACTGGGGATTGAACCCAGAGGCAATTTACCCCTGAGCCACATTCCTGGCCTTTTTTTATTTTTTTATTGAGACAATTGCTGAGACTGGTTTTGAACTTGCGGTCTCCTGCCTCAGCCTCCCTCACTGGGATTACAAAAGTGCACCACAGCACCTGGCGCGGTTAAAAAGAGTAAACTCTTTGTGTAACTATCCATCCTTAGTTTCTGGGTTTATATTACTATGCCGGATCCCATCGGCTTCTGTCAGTACTGAAATTTGGATAAGATTAATTTAACTAGTCACTGAACCAGTATCTGATAATTTAGTAGATACTCATTAAATGTTTGCTAAATAAATGGAGAAAAAAATGTATTCAAGAAAAAAGATATGGGGTGAGAGTGGCCAGTTCCTGATGGCAAGTTCACCACTATGTTTCTGGCCCCTGAAATTCACAGATTAAACCAGAGCCTTTTAAATCTGTTGCATTCAAAACTACTGCCAGCCAGGTGCCATGGTTCCAGCCGTTAATGCCATTGGCTCAGGAGGAGCACAAGTTTGAGACCAGCCCTTAGGCTCTAAGCAACTTAAGAATCTTGTCTCAAATCAATAAAATAAAAGAGCTGGGGCAAAGCATTCCTGGGTTCAATCCCCAGTACTAAAAAGAAAAACTTCTGTCACCCAACATGGACTTTATTAGAGAAATCATCTCCTTGTTGGAATAATTTAATAGGAAAGCTTTATGTTGTTATATCCTGACACATATACACTCATAGACAGCAAGAAGAGAGGCCATTTAGGACCCAGCAGATAAGATAGCTGGCTTGGCGGTAATCTGTTGAAGTGCCACATCGACGCACTGTCTTCCTTCTTGGTGCCCCCTGCCCCCCATGAGCAAAGCCATGGCAGAGTGACTAATAATTAGGAAAAGGATTCAACCCTGATATAGATTGGATTAGGTGAAAATTTAATATCCTCCAGGAATGTCCCATATCCTACTTGCTGGCCTTGAACTTGGGTTACTCCTGCCTCATTCTCTCAGGTCACTGGGATTACAAACCCATGCCACTATGACCAGTTTAGATTATAAATTTTAAAATAAAATTTAAAGTTAAAAAAATGCACACACTGAAAAAAGTGAATATTTATGTGCTGCAGTAGCATCCCCTTGTTCTCAGTTGCTTTCCCCCTCCATACCTGACAAGTGCTGTTCTCCTTGTCCTGAAACTTCATCATCTCTCAAAATGACATTTCTACCCAGAGCTCTTGTGATTTCTGGAATTAGCTGCCACAGGACCCTGCCATTCCTGGCTAAGAGCTCTCTGTATGCTATCATCAGGCCTCCGGTGTGTTAAACAAGAGAGGTGCTTTCATCTGGGTTAGTGCCTAGCATGTTTGTGTGTCAATTTTGTCCAAAAACCAGACTTTTATAAATTATTGTTTTAGAGCTCATGTTTTCCAACAGCTGCTCTGATCACATGCCCTTCCATTTTCAATTGAACTTAAAATATACATTTAAAGTCAGCCCTCTTAATTTTTTACTTTCTAGTGAGGGACACCTGTATTCTTTGCTTGCCTGATTTTCTTTTATCACTGGCCACTGAGAGACAGTTGCATCACAGTCAGTGAGGGTGTGGATTGTTCAATTGAACAAATCACTCATGACCTTTTCTTGTAAGCAAGGGACTGTTGGTTTGCACATAGAGTTGGTTTGCTCATCTAGCAAACTGAAGGACCATGGCCTGCCTGCAGCCATGGGCACAGGTCACACCAGACTGTTTCCCGAATTCGAATTAGCTACGTGGGCACAAAACAAAACACTTGGGATAAATGGGCAGTACTGATGAAATTTGGCTTACACCTCAGAAAGTTATTCACCACTGTCCAGTCCCAAGGTGGAAGCTGGGGTGTGCTCTCCCCCATTCCCTCCTGAGCCCAACTTCTGGATGCCAGGGTTGATCCATTATGAGGCCAAGGAGAACCAAAGTGGAACCTGTTAGCTGAGGAAGATATCATGTTTAGTCAGGTTCTGAAAATGCAGCGGCCAAAAGATTAGGCACCAAATTGCAAGCAGGCAGGCAGGCAGGAGTGCGGGTTGTACTTTGCTGCCTGCTAAAAGATGAGGTTATGCTTTGAATAAGGAAGGCAGCGACAATTACAGCTTTAGAAAAACTAAGGGGGGAATTGCCCTGGTTTTGTGAGGACTGGTATTTTTCAAACTACATTTGCAGATGTGTCTAAAAATAAAAACAAATTGTGAACATGTCCTGCAAGTCCCATGGGCACGATGCCAACTGCCAAAAGGGCTGGGTTCTAAATGCAACAAGGCTCCCGGCTGACCTGAGTGCCCGGAGCTCCAGCCCCACAGAGTGGATGGCATGGGAACATTCCTCTAGTCCTTGGGGAGAGCAATTGATTTGATTTCACCTCCCCCCCCAGTATGTTTCTTCCATATAAAGGAAAACTTTTGTAAACCTTTAAGCCATTTTATTTGATTTTACAGTTCTTTAAAGAAATGTATCATTAAAATGGCACTTTAATTTTTTTTTTTAAAACTTTGTAATAGGTCATGCAGAGTGCTGTGTGCCAGACACTTTTTCTTTGGTAATTTTCACAAAAACTCCATGAGGTTGAGGTAGATACGTTCAGCTCCTTTTCATAGAAGAACCAACCAAGGCTTGGATGGGTATGTAAGAAACTCACCCAGTTTTATATGTGAAATATAGTTCCAACTGGGTTAAAAGCCCTTTTTAAAAAAACAGGTTAAAAACCAGGGTTTTAACCTAGTTTTATCTGACTCTGAAGTTTAGGAGGGAATTCCCTTTTATTCAAGGGCAGCTGCATTGGTCGGCTGACGGCTCATCTAGCTAGTTTATTTGCTCTCACAACTGAGCCCAGGCCACAGATGGCTGCCTAATCGCAAGGGGAAAACAGATCTGGGTGCTGCTGCCCGTTCCTCAGTCCGGGCTCTCCCTGGAAAACTGGAAGGAAGCTGTCATCCTAGGAATCCCCCGACTCCTTTTCCTTCTTCTTGGTCTCCCCTTAGGG